ATTTGGTGCTTTCCCAGCCAGCTTCCAACAAGCAAAGTCAATGAGGGAAGCCAGATTTGCTTAACAATTGTATGATTCACTTAACAACTATAGCAAAAATGATCGTAAAATTGGATGCAACAACCCACTTAATAACAAACAGAAATTCTTAGCAACAGAAATTCTGGTCCCAATTGTAGTTGTAAGTCAAAGTTAGAGTAGGTATTAATCAACAGTTACATAATAAAAAATAGATTACAGAAAATTAGATCCTATTCACCACTATTGCAATGTTTAAATCCTTGTTGGCTCCAAATTTCATAGTCTCTTTCTATGTTACCCGTCATAGAGGCAGGCAGTCTAAGTGAAACAAAATAAACTCCCAAATGAAAATAGGAGATCTCTCTCTCTCTTTTTTTTTTTACTGGCATGAGATTGGTATGCAAGAAATTTCAGCCAAGCTGGTTGCAGCCAAATGATCATTAACAACTTCCTCCCAATTTAGATTTTCTTCCTGTTTAAAAAAGATGCCTCCGCCCAAAATAGCAACAGTACCATCAGCACCATATTTTTCTCCAAAGAATTTCTAATCTGGCATTCACTTTCTATCAATAGCTTTGAGAAAACACCTCTTGCATTTCTTTTGCCCTCTCTGGAAATTTGACCCATTCATCAGAGAATTATGTACCTTTAGAGATGTCTCCGCTGAAATATTTCCCAATCACTGCCTCTTTGCTTATGGTTATGGCCTTTTTCTGAAAAAACTAAAATGAAGATGGCTTCCTGCATAAAGAAAATGATTGCCATACAATTTAATTTTAAGCCTTAATTAACCTGCTTTTCCACAAGAGAGACTGGAACCAGGCGATCAATAGATGAGACTTTTTTCTCCATGCTTCTTCAGAATTTGCAAGGAAAGAAAAAGGACAAAGAAAAAGGGGTTGGTTTCTTTGGCATACAGACTGCCCTTCAAGAATATATTTTTATGAGTTGCTTTTTTCCCTTTTCCTTCAATCTTCATAGATTTTGGGATATAACCCTGATGTTTCGACAGTGGAAAACAGAATAGCAAACAGGTAGGTGACCTTTACAAATTTTTCTTTCAAAATGTACATTTGTGGAAATACTACCTTATATAATATAAGAAAAAGTAGCCGTTCTGCATGTCCTGAGTACAAGGTATCTCTACTGCTAGAGTTGGACATAAAAGGAATAGAACTGATATGCAATATTTAGCATGAGTATTAATTTTCCATAATCTTGGACTATATTTTACTTTTCTAAAAATATTTTAAACATAATAATTGCAAATAAGTATTGAAAATACACTGGTGACATTTCATCATAGGAAAACATTGTTCACTTGTGAAATAATTTGTCGCTGGAGGTGACATTTAACAGGTCAATCTTATCAATTTATCCTGTATTGCATTTGATCCCAACAAAGCAATTCTCATTTTCTAATAGTTGAATATCAGTATAGTTTAGGAATGTTTATTGGAATTCTTGGAATCAGGTTCTCAATTCAATTTTCCAAGAATGTTAAATGGGTATGTGTTGAATTTTCATACATTTAAAACCATTTAAGGCTTAACCAGCTGACTAACTATAGAAAGGTAACAAAAATAGTGAGAAATCTGGAGTCAAACCTTCTGAGGCAAAACTGAAGGGCTGGATCTACCAGTATGAATCTTGAAGGTGAGATCATCTCTAGATGTTTATGTATACTTGTATTTGATTAGTTGTAACGTAGACCAAATCTATTTGTTTAAACAGTTAGGATTCCTCCCTTTTCTGATAGGGATAATTGAGCATTTAACCCTCTGATTGCATTTTGAAATGGAACAGAAAGATTGAATGCTTAATTGTGAATTATGCTTAAATGCTTAATTACATTACAGCTAACATTCTTACCATCCTCATTACCTGTGAACAGTAATGATTGGGGTTGAATTTCTGCTAGATGGGTTTTGAAATCCTTATATGTGGGTGTATGATGTATGTATGGTATGTGTGTACCTATACATATATGTAAACATACACACATATGCTCCTTTCAAATTACCTACTCAGGATTGGATTAGTAATTCACCTAAACCCCATAAAGCTGTTTAGAGTTCCATGATTTAGAGGATTTTAAAAATTGCAGAAGGGTCAAAACTCAGCCAATAGAACCATTCCCTAGAGAATCACACTCTGTCACTTAAACCTAGATTGACTTAATAAGACATAGTTGACTGGGTTTTCACACAACAAACTAAATTATTTATTAGCAGATTATCAAAGTTCACGCAACACACTGAGGCAAAAACAAAGAAAGCTTATGATGTGCTATCACAATTTTAGCATCTGCCAGCCATGAACCAAAAAGACACACAGCAAGTTAAAATGTAGTCTGAAACTAAGGAACTAAAAATCAGAATAGTCACAATCATCCAGAAATTCTAGAGTTATGTCATTTACCTGTTAATTATGTAGTCAACTTATATGAAAACAGATACACATGGATCTGTAATTATTCAGGAGCACCCTCCTCTATCAGGTGACATAGCTTGAACTAGAAATTGGTTTTGCTAAGCTTTCTGTTCATAACCAAAAACTGTAATTGTGTGATTCACCAAAATGTGGGTCTACAGATTAAATAACTAATTCATTGCAACAGATTCAGTCCAACAAAGAAAAGGGAGTCTCTTCACAGAAACATGTTCTTATCTCAAAGGTGCTTTTTCAAAAGGCAACTGGACTTTATTTTAAAATAAACAATAAAAAACAATAACAAAGTCCAGTTGCCTTTTGAAAAAGCACCTTTGGGACAAGTATGACCTGGATGACTGAGAATCTCCATAGACATTAAACATGTTCTTAGATGTTCAGTGATGTATAAATCAATAGCATTGTTATCACCCTATCTTTCACTTGAAAAAATATCTTTGGAGTGGCCTATTAAAGATCAGATGTTAGGATTACCAGCTAAAGGACATGTCACAAACCAGAAAATATTAAAGGGTGGATAAAGAAAATCTGAGTGTTCAATCTCAGTCCCAGAGAACATAAACTTCAGGCCTTCTAAAGATTTCATTCTTATCTTCCCTGAGGTAGCTATATAGTCATGCAGTTTGAAGCCTTGTTCAGATTTTGTAGATTTTTTTTATCCTTCCTGCTGTAGCACAAAACTGAAAGGCAGAAAGGGGAAAAGAGAAGGCATCAGATGCCTGAAATATAATTCAGGTGTGTATATTTTTGGCAGATGCTTCTTCTACTTAATTTGCCTGAGAATTTGGCTAATTTCGTTGAAGTCCAAACATGCCACAATAGTCATAAGTATGAGGCCCAGTCGTAAGTCACGTTTTTAGTACCATTGTAAGTTCCAACAACAGTAAAGAAATGGTTATAAGTCGAGGACTACCTGTACCTTAAAAGATATACCTATATACAGTATGTATGCATTGAACGATTCCAAAATAGCTCCCTTTGAAATCTGGTAAAATATGCAGATCATGCAGTCAGTTCACTTGCATTTGGCAAGGCGAAGATGCTTCTCCTGTTGCTATTCTGAAAGGGAGGCAGGTGAAGTAAAACATGAGGCCAAGCCACACACTTTCCTTAAGCCAGGACAGGTTCGCGCCGCTGGCTTGAGGCCGACTCATCTGCCATCGCTCAGTCTTTCTCAGTGGCCAGCAGGAGAGGGAAAGGCAGGTAAGGGCCCTGCAGGACAAAAGTCGACATTATTTGCAAAGGAGAGTCCGCCGTGTGAGGGATGAATAGAGCATTCAAACACACACACACTGATGAGGTAGATTGTTTTTCATTCTCAGGTGCCATTGGTCTGCCAGTGTGCAGAATTCAAGAATGGAGAAAGTGTGTGTGAAAGAATGTGTAGGCAGTGAGGGGGGGGGATTTCTTGCTTTCACACTATCTAAAATAGTCCCTGTGAGGCTGGATTAATGGAAGTTAAGAGGAGGTGGGAAGCTTTAGGGTTAGAGCAGTTTTTCCCAGCCTTAGCAATTTAAAAATGTATGGATTTCAACTCCAGAATTCCTCAGCCAGCATGCTGGCTAAGGGATTCTGGGAGCTGAACTTCATGTATGTTAAAAGTAGCCAAGATGGAGAAGCACTGGGTGAAAGCAACCTTCCCAGCAAAAGTCTGTACAGATTCTTAGTCATCCAGGTCATGGTTATTCCAAAAGTGCTTTTTCAGGAGGCAACTGGACTTTCTTGGTTTTTTTCTTTCTTTGAAGACGTTTTCCTTCTCATCCAAGAAGCTTCTTCAGCTCTGACAGGAAACACTTGGAAGTTATCTCTGTCCTCAGGGTCACCTGAGTAGACGAACACCCTTTGAATGATGTGGGAGTAAGAATGGATTTCCAGGGGAAAAAATACTGCAGACTACAGGAACTATTTGCCCTACTCAGGTGACCCTGAGGACACAGATAAAACTCCAAGTATTTCAATGACCCCCTAAAAGGATGCAAATGATCAGCTGTCTGCAAGGAGTATAAATCCTTCCATTCCCACTATCCTGTCAGAGCGGAAGAAGCTTCTTGGATGAGAAGTGAAATCTCTTCAAATAAAAAAAAACAAGTCCAGTTGTCTCCTGAAAAAGTACCTTTGGGACAACCTTCCCAGCAGTTTTTCACGGTCCCAGAGATTGCTCCATAACTTTTTTGAACTGTGGAATTGCAGAGATAAGTTAGATAGATGTTGGGTAAAATTGGTGCATTGAGTCCCACCAGTGATGTCCCACCATCATACAATCTGTGATTCTCAGAAACGGAAAAATGACTGGGGGGGGGGGGGGGAGATTCCAGATTGGGGAAGGTTGGTGTATAAAGAAATTAATCTGGATTAATTTGCATTAAAATACAACCTTCATATATTTCTCTATCGTGCCAAGTTTCATGTCTTTTACATGATGAGAGAAGGGTGCCCTGGCACTATTTTTCCCTCTTCCTGGTGTGGCTTGGCAGACGTCCCTTGGGAGAACATCAAAAATCTTCCACTTAATCCTGCAAGAAGCAGAAATGAACTTTGGACCTTGGCCAGGTTACAGGAAGAAAGATCAAAAGCCAGGACTCTGCGTACCACCTGCCTTACTGACCCTGCCAACACTGGCTCCATTCTTCTTCCTTTTACTAACAGGTGAGTAATCCCCTCCTTTTCCTCCTTTTCAGCTTCTTATTATGCCATCCATAGTTATGAAATTAGATAGCATACAGATGATTGTAAATGGACAAATACAGGCAGTCCTTGATTTATTACCATGATTGAGACCAGAATTTCCAGAACATTGCACCCATATTTGGTCGCTACTGTATAAAAAAGATGTTGAGAAATCAAATTCAAATTGTTAGTCACCTTCTCATCCCCTTGCTTTTCTTGTTGCTTTCAAGTTTAGAAAACAGATTTCCATTTCTACTTTTATATGAAATTCCCAAATGCAGTGTCTAAATTTAGAACTGGGGCAAGTTAGCTACTGTGGAAATGTTTATGCAAATCTCAAGCATCTAATCTGTGTTTCATGATCTTGAATAGGCACAGAATCGTAAACCTAATTCTCTCCCCCAAAGAATGTAGAACTCAAATGTTGGGGGCTTGATGATGGAACTGGGCACTTGATGTACCTGTATGGCAGATCGTGAGGACTTAGAAAGAGGATGAATGTCAGATGATGTGCAAGAGCCTTTTCCTCCTATGGTTCTGTAGCTATGATAGACTTTGGTTCCCCAAATTCCAGTGAAAGGTTAATCAAACGCAATTGTACGCCAGTATCTGGTTCTTCTCCATGTAGATGTTATTGCTTCCCGCCCACCAAACAGCTGTTGGGAAGACTGTGGGAGAGCAATCTTTCTTGGCTAAAATAGAGGAGAAAATGCTACTCTTATCTTAATAGCAAGAAGTTTTAGAAACTGAAAAAGCAGGTGTGTATGTGTCCTTGAATTAGACAGCATCTGCTGTTCTCCAACCGTGGCCTGAAGTTTTTCTTGAGCTCAGCACAACCAGAAGACTGTGAAATTCTAGTCTTGCCTCAGTCATGAAAGCCAGTGAGCCCAGCTCAGCTCACAGAGGTGCTGTTGTGGGCAAAAGAATATCATTATATTTGCTGCCTTGAGATACTTAAAATGTTAAAAATGAATAAATAAATGCACTGGAGGAAAATATGTTGCTCAGTCTTGGCACTAGGCCAGAAGTGATCAATGTTTGCCTAAATCCCCCTTTTGCAGCCATAGAGCCTCCTCTGACCATCATTGCAATAAATGATAGCATAATTTCTTACCCACATTAAGCTCAGAACAAAACATGAGAAAGATAGTATAAGCTACAAAGTAAGAAAATCACAGTTAGAAAGGAAAAAAAATCCTAATATATCTTTGGAAACCCTAGCCTCACACATTTTCTGGCATTTATGCCTCCCTCCCCCAATAATAAACCTAGTCCTTGACCGTGAAAAGATTACCTAGTCCTTTGTTTTTTAAACTTAACAAGATGTAGCAGAATAACAGAGTTGGACGGGACCCTTGGAGGTCTTCAACCCCCTGGTCAAGCAGGAGGCCCTATACCATTTCAGACAAGTGGCTGTCCAGTATCTTTTTAAAAGCCTCCAGTGATGGAGCACCCACAATGTCTGGAGGCAAGCCATTTCACTAGTTAATTGTTCAGTCAGGAAATTTTTCCTTAATTCTAGGTTGGTTCTCTCCTTGATTAGTTTCCATCCATTGCTTTTTGTCTTGCCTTCAGATGCCATGGAGAATAGGTTGACTCCAGGGGTGAGATTCTACCAGTTCTCACCTATTCACTAGAACCAGTTGTTAACATTCTAAGCAGTTTGGAGAACCGGTTGTTAGAAGAAATTACTGGCCTAATCCTGTAAGGAAGGCAAGAAGGAAACATTCTGGTGTTGCTTAAAGAAACCACCTCTCCGTTAACCCTTATTACATTCTTGGCAGGACTAGACTTCCTGTCTCAGGAACTTCTCTGGAGGTTTTTTCCCTCCTTTGCTGGTACTTTGCTTGTGTGGAATGACCATTCAAAGTTACAATGGCACTGAAAAAAGTGACTTATGACCCTTTTTCACACTTACTACTGTTGCAGCATCCCCACAGTCATGAGAGGCCAGGCGAGGAGATGCGTGCCTCGATGTGAGTGATATTGAGTTGGCCCCACCCAGCCAATAGCACGACCACCAAGCCATGTCCATCCACCCAGTCACATGACCACCAAGCCATGCCCACCACCTAAGCCACGCCCACAGAACCGTTTGTTAAAAATTTGAATCCCACCCCTGGCTGACTCCCTCTTCTTTGTGGCAGCCCCCCAAATATTGAAACACTGCTATCATGTCGCCCCCTAGTCCTGATTTTCATTAAACTAGACATAACCAATTCCTGCACCCGTTTTTCGTATTCCCTGAAATAAGAACGGTTCCCTCAAGGTCATCTTTTCCCACATATATGCATACATACATAGTTGTGTGGATTTAATCTCCCAGAAGTCCCAACCCAATCTTGTTGCTTTCCACCGTGCTTTCCCTGTCACCTACAGGATAGGGATTCTGGAATGTGAGTTATTAGAATCCTAGAGTTGGAAGGGAACTCCAAGCTGGTAAGACTGCTTGGTGGAGGATTTGCTAAAGAATTTTAGACAAATGGTTATACAGCCTGTTGCAAGTCTTGGCACACCTGAAAGTCAGCAGATGGAGAAGGATATCCAGGTTCAATTTCCTGATGTGGGGATATAATTGAATTTGCATGAACTTATATTATTCTTTTATTGTTGCAGCTGGCAGCACTGGGGCTGCACCGATGACCGTTCCAGGTGAGACTCTTTTATATGGAGATGCATATAGAATTTTAAGGCTCTTCCATATCTTGCCTCTGTGCTGATTTAGCATCAATACCATCCCCTTCCAGCTCTGTTTCCTACTATATCATTCTTTCAGCAGCTGATTTTCTTCCTCCTTTTCTGAAGGGCAACTAACATAGCAAACTTTCTATTTTAATATTTGCAACCTGGGACTCCCCAGTTTTGTTTGGTGTGTGTGTGTGTGTGAATGTGCCATTTGCTATTTCTTAGAACTCTAAGAACTCTATTTCCCCTCTACTTGTTTTAAGGCTCCTTATTAGATTTCACAGGAAACTTTTATCAATAAATTCCGTGTTAAGGCCTTCTGCCAGTTTACCAATATAATGGCTAAAATTCAGCACAACTTGATATCCCATAATCCATCAATTACATTTTGTCAATTTCTTAACTGTACCAGTTTAGTTGGAAGCTCAGGAATTTTGATCAAATGAATAAAAGCTAGTTTATCTATACAGATGCCAATTAGGAAATAGTTACAGTAATTCAAAGTAAAATATATTTCATCAAAATAAATGCTTGACTTGTGCGCTTAAAGCTCAGCCTGCTAAACAGGTATTAAAATAGCATTCTTATGGCCCTTTATCTTGAAATTGGGCTTAGAATAGAAAGCTCTTTAGATAGAAAACAATCTGCTGTAACATTCAACTTGATTACCTTAGCAATAATTGACCCTTAACAAGAAAGTGATGGTTCATTACATCTGAGCCCAACTTATTCATAATGGACATAATGTACGCCTAAAGTTAGCAGGTGTCTGCTAGGCATCATAGCAGTGCCAGCAATACAGCTGTGGTGGCACAATGGTTAGAATGAAATATTGCTGGTTAACTCTCTGACTGCCAGCAGTTCGATTCTGACTGGCTCAGCCTTAAAGTCAGTAAAATAAGGACCCAGGTTGTTGGGGGCAATGTGCTGACTCTGTAAACCATTTAGAGAGTGCTTGGATCATGCCCAGTATTTCCTAATCGAACCACAGAAAACTACAATGATCTAATACATATCGATTTTACAGAAGACAATGTTGAAAAAGCACTACGCAATCTAAAACCATCTCTATCTATTGGACCGGATGGAATATGTGCCTACTTCTTAAAAAAGCTATCCACTGCCATAGCAGAACCTCTAAGCATAATCTTTGAAAAATCTTTCAAGACCAGCTCCTTGCCTAACCTATGGTCACAAGCCACGGTCATCCCCATCTTCAAAAAGGGAGACCCCAGCCTAGTTGAAAATTACAGACCAATCTTCTTATCTGCGTCACCTTTAAAGTCATGGAATCAATTATTAACCAATCCATTATCCTCCACTTAGAGACAAACAACCTACTCTCCAATAAACAATTTGGTTTCAGAAAAAAACTATCCTGTAATCTGCAACTCTTACACTGCAAAAACATATGGACTATACAACTCGATCAGGGCAAAACAATAGACGCAATCTACATAGACTTCTGTAAAGCCTTTGATTCAGTGGTACACGACAAACTACTCCTAAAACTAAAATCTTATGGTATCTCTGGACACCTGCATAACTGGATAGAAGCATTCCTGTTAAACAGATAACAAATGGTCAAAATTGGGAGCGTCCTATCAAATTCTGTACCTGTCAACAGTGGTATTCCCCAAGGCAGTGTTCTAGGACCAACTCTTTTCATACTCTACATAAATGACCTCTGTGATCATATCAAGAGCATTTACGTTCTCTTCGCTGATGATGTAAAGCTATTCAACACCACAGACAATACTGCTACTCTTCAAAAAGACCTTGACTGTGTATCAGAATGGTCAAACAAATGGCAACTTCAAATCTCAACAAATAAATGCTCTTCCTACATATTGGCCAAAAAAATCAGAAAATAAAATACAGGCTGAATAGTCAAGACCTTGTTGATGACCCAAACTCTGTCAAGGATCTTGGAGTATTCATCTCAAATGACCAAAGTGCTAGACCCCACTGTAACTACATAGCCAAAAAGGCGTTAAGAGGTGTTAACCTAATCTTACGTAGCTTTTTCTCTGGTAGTATTACACTACTAACTAGAGCATACAAAACATTTGCTAGACCAATACTCGAATACAGCTCATCAGTCTGGAACCCACATTACGTATCTGATATTAACACAGTTGAGAAAGTCCAGAAATATTTCACAAGAAGAGTTCTCCGCTCCTCTACTCGTTGCAGAATACCTTATGCCACCAGACTCGAAATTCTAGACCTAGAAAACCTACAACTACGCTGCCTTTGGTCCGATCTAAGTATGGTATATAAAATCATACATTGCAATGACTTACCTGTCAATTAATACTTCAGCTTCAACCATAACAACACAAGAGCAAACAATAGATGCAAACTCAAGGTTAATCGCACCAAACTTGATTGCAAGAAATACGACTTCAGCAACAGAGTGGTCAATGTCTGGAATACTCTATCTGACTCTGTGGCTTTTTCCCCAAACCCCAAAAACTTTAACCTTAGACTGTCTACTATTGACCTCACCACTTTCCTAAGAGGTCTGTAGGGAGCATGCATAAGCGCACCAACGTGCCTACCGTCCCTGTCCTATTGTTTCTTTTATATTTTTTTTATTTTTCTTATATGTATCCATGTATTCATAACTATGTTTTTACTTATTCCTATTATCTTATAAGCAATTGACAAATAAAAATAAATAAATAAACTATGAAGCTGAATATAAGTCTAAGTGCTATTGCTAACAGCTGGACATAGAAGCAGGAGCCAATGATGCTCAATTGCATATCCCAAAAATTCTCTTTGAAGAATTTGTACTTTAAGCTGTGGTTGGGCACCAGAACATGTGGGTAGTTTCCTCCCAGTTGATGGTTGCCATCTCTTCAGCTTTTATGATTTATTGATACACAAACAAGATTGAATATAATCGCTGGGTAATAACAGTTTATGTCCCAAAGCTTTGCCTGTTCAAATCCATATTTATGGATTTCATGCTCGTCACAAAACAATTGGATGTAAAGTTTGGCATTTTTTTTTTATTTTTTTTTAAACAGACTTTATTCAGTTTTCACATTAAAAACAAAAATCTCTTTTTAGTGGACAACATATTTCCGGGTCATCATCTTTACATACAAATATGACAGAAATTATACATTGATATATGCATACTTAATTCTATTATTACCTTTTCCATTCCAAATTTTCAGTAAAGAGAGAAACAAACACATTAATTCTAGCCTCTTTCATTAATTTCAATCAATTTTGTTTCATTTCAATTATTTCAAATATAATCCTTTAGTATTTGTTTTTAAACATAAAGATAAACAATATATATTTGCCTAATAAATAATAATAAGGTTTAATTCTAAATTTTTTCATTAATCCCAATCTAAACATTTTTAAATTTCATTTCAATTATTTCAAGTATAATCCTTAATATTTATTTTAAAAATAAAAATAAACAATATATATTTGCCTAATAGTGGTAATAATGAAGTTACCAATGTCTCTCCTTGCTTTTAATAATCTATATTAAACTTATTAAGCTTATTAATTTAGCTGGTTCTTTAGTCTGTCACATTCCCTTTCCATTACACTTTTTTTTTTATAAATTCTAAATTAATACAGATCTTAACACACCCACACATGGTTGCCATCTCTTGAGGTTTGGAAATTGTAAAGGCCCAGACCCAAGGCCAGCTGAGATAATGCTTCAAGGGACAAGTTGAATGTAGGAAACCATCAAGTTGAAACTAGAAATTATATGTGAGCCTAAGAAAGCAGAGTTGCAAGATGGGAGCCAGAGAGCATGCCTGAGAATTATAATATAGCAGGTTATAATTGATAACAGATGTGGTGCAGTCTGGATGGTGAAGCCAAACCAGAGAAACCATCTCTTAATGAAAATACTCCCTCTGTAGTCCCAAAAGTGCTTTTTTTTCAAAGGGCAACTGGATTTTTTGTTTTTCCTTGAAGAAGTTTTGCTTCTCATCCAAAAAGCTTTTTCAATTCTGACTGAATGGTGGAGAATGGAAGGATTTAATTCTCCGTCATTCGGTCAGAACTAAAGAAGCTTCTTGGATTGAGAAGCAAAATGTCTTCAAGGAAAAACACACACAAAAAATCCAGTTGCTTTTTGAAAAAAGCACCTTTGGCATAACCATGACCTGGATGACTTAGACTCTCCATAGACCCCCTGTCTGTGGAGTTCCAGTAGTTCACCTGAAGAAACAGTGATCCACAAAGTTTGGGATTGATGGCTCTAATGCTAAAAGCCGCCATAATTGTTTCCCTTGGTGGATTGAGTACAAGAAGAATTTGCACTTTTACTGGGCCATAGCTCCATTCCAGATACATTTTCATTTTAGCAGACCTACTTTCCCTTAGTTCAGTGCCTCAGGGTGCAATATAACCCTTTACATTCTTGAATGACCATCCCTAAAGATTTGAATGGATGCCTCAAAAACCCAGTTGAACTGTTAGTTGAATGGACTCAAAAGGGAGATATCTTCAGCATGCAGAGAATAATTATATCAACTGTATTTTATAAATAGGATAGGCAAAATATCCTGTCACAGAAGATTCCAATCCTGAAATTTGTTTTGATGTCCAGCTACTTTCAGAAGACTCAGATTGGCCCATTTTGAGATTGGGAAGTTCCATGGTAGAAATTTGTTCCCACACTTTAGTTATTACTGTCTATTTAAATGAAATACAATTTTTGCCATGGCCCCACTTAATTTCTTGATGCCGATCCAGGGTACCTTTCGGATTTTGAATTCCGATATGTAAAATTATCCCCAGATGATTTGCCTGACCCTACCCTAGTTGTTCACCGGCCATGATGCGGCTGTTTCTCCCCCGCTGAAGTCCTTCTGGAGTTTTTCAAGACAGTAACTCTGCCCTTTTCTTTCCAGAGGTACGGCTGGTCAATGGACGCACCCGGTGCCAGGGACGGGTGGAGATCTTCTACAACAACACCTGGGGCACAGTGTGTGACGACGACTGGGACATTGTGGATGCCAACGTGGTGTGCCGCCAACTCGGTTGTAGCCATGCCATCGGCATGCCACCAACCCTTTCTTTTGGCAGAGGGCAAGGACCCATTTTTCTAGACAATGTGGACTGCAAAGGAAGAGAGGCAGCCCTCAGTGAATGCAGCAGCCGTGGATGGGGCATCCACAACTGCTACCACTATGAAGATGTGGCCGTCATGTGTAATGGTACAAAGGTTTGGGACTGATGGATTGCAGTGGTGGTGGGGAAGGGATTGGTGTCGAAGTAGATCAGTAGTGGGATTCAAATTGTTTTACTACCGGTTCTATGGGTGTGGCTTGGTGGACATGGCAGGGGAAGGATACTATAAAATCCCATTCCCTCCCCACTCCTGGGGGAAGGTTACTGCAAAATACCCATTCCCTCCCCACTCCACTAACCTGCTTTCCAGCTCCGTTCTCCTGTCTAGGGCAACAAAAGAAGACCCAGCCAATCAGCTGGGACTCGGGAGGCGGAGAATAGATGGGGGTGGGGGCCAATCAGAGGTGGTATTTGCCGGTTCTCCAAACTACTCAAAATTTCTGCTACCGGTTCTCCAGAACTGGTCAGAACCTGCTGAATACCACCTCTGGGATTAGTGTTGAAATTTGCAAGATGATGGCGCAAAGCCTACTTCTTTATGTGTTTGTGCACTGAACATGCCAAAAGTTTAGGTCTCTGATTATGATCCTGCACTGGTCATCTTGCAAATTTTGACAACCTCCCCCTGATGCCCTCCCCCCTGCCCCCCAGCGATGGGATTCATTTATTTATTTTTACTACCGGTTCTGTGGACGTGGCTTGTTGGGTGTAGCACGGGAAGGATAGTGTAAAGTCTCCAGTCAGAGGTGGTAACTGCCGGTTCTGTGAACTACTCAAAATTTCCGGTTCTCCAGAACTAGTCAAAACCTGCTGAATACCACCTCTGCTGCCCCCACCATGTCACTAGTGTGGACAGTTGTGACCTAGTTTCATTTTTTTCTGCTCCATCTTTATCTTTTCTTTGACTTGTGAGAAAGGCAGTGACTTGTTTCACAGATTGTGCTAAGCCATAATAGAGTTGCAAGCAAGCTTGGCATGGCACAACATGTGAATCCAAACACCGCACTTTTTAAGCCACAGTTTCTATCTTGGCGCAATACGCAAATTTATACACTTCTGGTAATTTATTTAATTCAAGGAAGTTCAGATGTTTTCTTTAAAAGGCATTAGGGTATTATTATTTTTTTAGATTTGCCTCAGTTTGGTTAAAAGGCTTGTGCGTTGAGTCTTGATGTTTGAAGACTGGAATTAGGTAAATGCAAATCATGTTCCTTGTAACCAAGAACAGTTACCCTCCAATCTGATTCATTTGTTTATTGATTCAGCATTCGTGGTAGGTTTCAGGTGACTTTCCTTTAGGAGATCATGGTGCTGAGTGCAGGTAGTCCTTGACTTATCATAGTTCATTTAATAACCATTTGAACTTACCACTGCACTGAAAAAAAAAAAAGCGACTTAGGACCCTTTTTCACCCTTACGACCATTGCAGCCTCCCCATCAAAAATTCAGATGCTTAGCAACCGGTTCATATTTATGACTGTTGCAGGGGTCATGTGATTCTTTTTTTCCAACCTTCTGACAAGCAAAGTCAATGGGGAAGCCAGATTCACTTAACAACCGTTTTATTAACTTAACAATTACAGTGCTTCACTTAACAATTGTGGCATGAAAGATCATCAAATGGGGCAAAATTCACTTAACAGCTGTCTTGGTTAGCCAAAGGAATTGTGGTCGTAAGTCGAGGACTATTTGTATAGAGTCCTACCCCCAGGGGTGGGATTCTACTGGTTCTGTCTGGCTCTGTAGAACCGGTAGCTCTGAAGAGCAGCAGACATAGAGCCGGTTCTATGTCTGCTGCTGTTTTGGCCCACCTGCCTGCCTGGGCTCTTACCTGACCTTTATTTCCTGATTTTTCAACCTCAGCTGCTGTGCAAGGCACAGCTGCGGTTGAAAAAGCAGGAAAAAAGTGCTTTTTCAAACGCTGCTTCTCTACACGCAATGCTGTTCAGCTGTCTGGGCAGCAAGCTGACGAAGATTTAGACGCGCGTATAAGGAAGCACATCGTAAATCACCGAACTGGTAGCTTAGCCCTGTCGGATCCCCCTCTGCTTCCCCCCCCCTGGTTTTTTTTTGGAAATTCCATAGACAATCCGAAAGAACCAACATTTTAGGCTGAGAAATTATCCTTAGCCCGAAGTTATCCAGGCAAACTCCACAGCTGAGTGAGATTTGAATCTTCTCTTCTGTCTTCTTCTGCAAAAAGAGTTGCAACATGTGTCGTCGGAGGCCACATGCAGCCCACCAGCTTCCGTTTGGTGCTCCTAAAGCCCCTCCCCATTGGGCATAATCTAGTAGAAATGGACCAATAATTAAAAAAAATATAAATCCAGAAATTATACATTATTCAAGTCGTGTTTGAAAGCCAGAACAGGTAGAGGCTTTACTATATCCCTTGAAATATATCCCTCGACCTACAGCATTGGGGCTAGAATTTCTGTCAGGGAGCAAGGTGGTTATTAAATACAATCCTTGTTGCCACGGTTGTTAGGTGAATTGCAGTTAAGCAAATCCAGCTTCCTCCATTGACTTGGCTTAGCGAGAAGCAGGTTTGGGAAGGTTGCAAATGGCGACTACATGTTTCCAGGGCACTGTAACCATCGGAAATACATGCCAGTTGCCAAGCAACCAGATTTTGATCATGTGACACTGGAAATGCTGCAACCGTTGTAAGTTCAAGAAGTAAATAAGGAGAAATTTTCAGACAGGGAGAGCAATCAACCAAGGGAACAGAAGCTTTCAAGAAGAGACTGGGCTGCCATCTGTCAGAAATGGGGTAGGGGCAGTGATGGCTAATCTTTTTCCTCGTCGCATGCCAAAAGTGTGCGTGCGTGCCTGCACCCATAGTGTAATGCACACGACCCCCCGCCTCCTGTACATGTATGCGCGACCCCTGCACACGTACTGCACACCCCTGCGCATGTGTGCATGACCCCACCACATGTGCCCCGCCCCAATCAGCTGGTTGGCAGGGGCCCGTGCGCATGCACAGTGGGTCTTTTCCGGGCGACCTCTCGCATGCCAGCAGAAATGGCTCTGCGTGCCACTTCTGGCACACATGCGATAGGCTCGCCATCGCGGGTGTACGGTCCCCTGCTTGGGCAAGGGATTGGACTAGATGACCTACGAGGTCCCTTCCCACTCTGTTAATCTGTTACTCATAAGTCATGTCTTTCAATGCCATAGTTACTTCAAATATTGCTAAACAATGGGTTGTAAATTGAGGACTACCTGTCTCCCAGTCACCACCAGAAACACCATACATTGCACTATGCCGTAACGTGGATTTCATTTTGGCTCAGTGTATTATATGAATCTGGTCTGTCTCTTTACTCCAGATCTTCAGCACATAATCCTCTGTTCGTTTCAAAGCTGGAACTGGCAGAGACAGGTCAGAGCATAAGGTATCAGCTTTGGGCTCTTTTGCCAGGGAAAAGTTTGGTGATTTCACCATTTTTGCAGTTTCAGTCAAGAAGTGTTTGGCGCTCTATTAGTCCCAAAGCTGTATTTTCCTAACCACCTCTTAAAAGAACTTGCATTAAACTAGGACTTGCATTCTCATTAAGGAATCAGGAAGAGTTTGGTAGCATATTTTCCAAGTATAAAATGTCATTCAAAGATATATGATGAACAGGGGTGGGATTCAAATTTTTTAACAACCGGTTCTGTGGGCGTGGCTTAGTTGGTGGGCGTGGCTTGGCGGTCATGTTATTGGCTGGGCATGGGCAACTCAATATCACTCACATCGAGGCATGCATCTCCTCACCTGGCCTCTCATGACTGTGGGGATGCTGCAACAGTTGTAAGTGTGAAAAATGGTCATAAGTCACTTTTTTCAGTGCCATTGTAACTTTGAATGGTCACTCCACACAAGCAAAGTACCAGCAAAGGAGGGGGGGAAAAACTCCAAAGAAGTTCCTGAGACAAGAAGTCTAGTCCTGCCAAGAATGTAATAAGGGTTAACGGAGAGGCAGTTTCTGTAAGCAACAGCAGAATGTTTCCTTCCTGCTTTCTTACAGGATTAGGCCAGTAATTTCTTCTAACAACTGGTTCTCCAAACTGCTTAGAATGTTAACAACCGGTTCTAGCAAATAGGTGTGAACCTGTGGAATACCACCCCTGATGATACAGTTCAGGAAAGTTTATGCCTTTTAATAAAATTTGTTAGTCAGAAAAAGATGCTATCGGTCTCCTGTTTTTCGCTCTCATTAAAGGAAGTGCAGCGGGTTCAATCTGGGCTTTCATCAATTAATAGATAAAAAAGAGGAAGGCTTGATTAAAAGAGTGGCTGAATAATAGTAGCTTTAGAAGCAAAAGAGAATTCTATGTTCAGAGCATTTTTAAACAACTGCTTTGAGTAGACCAGGAACAGTTGTAGTGCAAAAGGAGATCAGAAGACACTAAACTGATCAGGACAGCTGGCACAGTATGGAGCAGGCACAGTATGGAGCGGACACAATGTGTTGGGCTGATTGCATGTAGAGAGAAACACTGGCGTTGTGAGTATAACTTTTATAAGAAAATATTATTGAGGCTGGTGCATGTGTGAAAGAAACATAATGGTAAGCTTGCTTTTGGTGCTGAGGAGAGCCAGTTTGTTTAGGGGTTGAAGGCATCAGTATTGCCTACAGTACTGCCTACAAGTTAAGAGTCCATAATATGTGCTTGCCTCCCTTTTATAAGCACAGCATCTGATCTGCACAGGTCAGAGAGAGAAGAGAAAGGGATGGACTTGGAGATGAAGGAAGTGATGAAAATCTTAAAAGGAAGTAGATTACAAAGCAAGTTTTTCAGATAAGGAAAGAAATTCAGAATCCTTCTATATCTAGTGGTCAGTGGTCACTATCTGTTTTGGAGAATTGACTACAGCAAGATATTTTTTTTCAGAGAGGAAGAGATATGTGAAGAACCTAGTGGCACCTTGAGATATATCTCCAGACAATATGTGATATGAGCATCACATTATCTACCCCTGAAATACCAGATATGTCCATTTAAAGTCTGGATGTCACCAAAATAAATAGTAATAGTAACCTTGCCTATGGATTGAATACTATTTCTAAGGGGAGCATATAGCTGATGATCTTCTTCTTCTTCTTCTTCTTCTTCTTCTTCTTCTTCTTCTTCTTCTTCTTCTTCTTCTTCTTCTTCTTCTTCTTCTTCTTCTTCTTCTTCTTCTTCTTCTTCTTCTTCTTCTTCTTCTTCTTCTTCTTCTTCTTCCTCCTCCTCCTCCTCCTCCTCCTCCTCCTCCTCCTCCTCCTCCTCCTCCTCCTCCTCCTCTTTTTCTTCTTCTTT